TTTGCATCAACAGTTGGCGCATGTACTTGTACAATGGTGAGTTTTGTGTTGTCGAAATTAAGATTTAAAATGCAGATGCGTTCGGATATTCCAATGAAGCTCTCAATGTTTAGCTTATATTCCTTTTTTATAAGGAATCCGACTCCATATTGTCCTTTCGTTTCCCCAAAATAACAGAAAATATGTTCATTGTTTTCTAAAATATTATATCCCGTTCTTCTTATTTCAGCAAGGCCAATAATATCGTATTTTATTTTTGAAATTGCTCTCTTAAAATCGAGTAATCTTTCATCTGATAGTAGAGATTTTGCATTATAGGTACAGATGTAGATTTCGTAGTGGAAATGGAGGGTTGTAGTCTTTATCCCCCGCGGTGACAAGCCGTATTGGGAGATGTAGAGGGGCTTTTTTTACTCGTTTTTTGGTGGTGAGGGTTTCTCAGTCGAGCTTAACGCCGATCCTTTTTTCGGTTGTGTGTTGCACATGTAGGAGGTAATATTATTCAACTTATTTTTCTTCGGTATCTGTTTGACATTGTTTTCACTGATTACGTTGGTTCCGAGGTCAGGGGATTTTGACAGATTCCGCTTTTGTTTTCGTGTTTCTGCTATGGAATTTCTATTTTTGGGGCTACCTGGCAATGTTACTATTTTGTCGTATCGTAGTATTACATTTTTTCCGAGATTACGTTCTTTTTCTACTTCTGCTTGTAGTTCCTTACGTTTCAACAGAACTTTTTGTGGAAAGTCTTCTTTAATGTTAATGAGTGAGCCCTTCAATGTTCCTTTCTTCTTTAAAATTTCAATTTTCCTTACCATTGTTGTAAATGTTACTAATAAAGGTCTTATCTTGTTCTCTTTTTTGCCAAGTCTCCTCACAAACTCTATTTCAGACTGCTCGATGGAAATCTTCATGTGACTTTTTATGCAACTTAATAATATACTTTGCAATTCTTCGTATCCATGCTCGGTCTCTTCTACTCCATAGAATATTAGATTTTTCTTTCTAGCCTGTCTTTCTAAATAATCTATTGTTTTTTGTTGTTTATTTATTTTTATTTCTAGGTTGCTTGTTTTATTTTCCATAATTATAAATTTTTGGTTGATGTTGTCGTTTATAACTTTGGTTATATTTTCTTGCATGTTTTTTATTTCCTGCTTTTGATTATTTAACTCGCCTTGAATTTCTTTTAGAATATTCATAATATTTTCCATGGTTTGGTACTTGAAGTGTCCTCTAGCGGTGAACAGCGGTACTAGCGATACTACAATTTAAGTGCTGACGTTTGTTGTCACTGTTAAGCTGATGCGCGTATGCAGCTTGTTGCACGTCTAGTTCGGTCAGATGTCACTAGATGGCTTGAACATCAATATAGATTTATGTGTGGTGATTTGCAGTTTTTATTTGTAGGTTATAATAATTTCTTTATTCACTATTTACTAAATTTTTCCGTCTTTGCACTAATATTTCACGGGTTGGTCTTCTGAGATGTCGATACTTTGATTTTTACTTTGACCTTACTTGTACTAGCACAAAAAAAATACGTTTGTTGTTTTGATGTTTTGTATGCTGGTATTTTCCCTATTTGTTGCACTGTTTTTGCACCGTTCTTTGGAATTTAATAATGTTCACTGTTGTTTAACGTTATTGCACTGAGTTTAGCACTTTAATTGTGTAGATATTCACTTTATATATTTTTAACTTGAAAAATACTACGGAGCCGAAGTAAACGCGGGCACAGCAGCGCCACCTCTCCTTATATTCTCCTTATATAGGAGAATATTAAACGATTTATTTCATTACTGTATCAATAAGTGGTAACTAAATAAATCATTATCATCAAAGTTCTAAGTCGTTTATGATAGAGCTTCTGTGTAAACGACGTTAGAAGTAGGCTTAGCCGGGATGTACACAAAAAGGTTACGGGGGCTACTAACGCGGGAAAAAGCAACATAGAGTTGGCCATGTGCAAAACAGTCAGTACACTCATACAACGCGTAAAGTTTGACCTTGCGCTTTATTTACGGTCATCGCATAACACACGCTCACTGTAACTGGGAACTGAACGCGCTTAAAACTGAAAGGAAAGTTACTTCTTAATAGAGGGTTTTTGGGCAGTGGTGCCAGAAAAAAAAAACTCATTCAGCTCTAGGACAACACAAAAAGCGCTAGATTTTATGAAAACAGCGCTTTAAAAAAGCCCTAGATTTCGCGCTAAATTAACTACAAACAAAGTTTGTGTTTTTTATGTAATCATAATAAAGAAAACAACATTAAGTTTATTTCTGGTAATATTTTTTTGATGTATCAATACTTCGCAGGACATCGACTTATAATTATGGCAATTGCTGTCAACAGTAGTTAGTACTGTACGAACAATAAAAATGTCATTAATTGTTTTAATGTGCAATGTATTTCGCAACTTAGTTTCAGATGTCAGCATCTGATTGCGGTTGCTACACAGTTTCTTTGTGTTATAACTTCTAAGTAACTTTTAACTTAGCTGTGCTCTAAGCAACTGACTGAAACTGAATAAAGCAAAATAAATGCGTTGCCAAAACCATGAACGAAAACTTTAATAAAGGGAATTTCCCCGCTTATAGTCGTCGGTAAAAAAATCAAGTTGATCATCCTAAAGGGGAAGCCAGGAGATCCATAGCACAGGGTATCCTAGTTTGGACTCGTCTCCCATGCTCTTTGTTTTGTGGAAAAAATATGTTTGAAAAAGATGAACTGCAATGTACTATTTGTGGGAAAAAATAATAAAGGTCATTATTATTATTATCGGTAATGTGGACTAACAGTGCTGCTATAAAAGAGTTAATAACCCGCTAGTCGCTAAAATATTGAAATGTGTGCTAAATACACCAAAAAGCGCTGGATTAAGCTAGGTGCTAAAATTTCGAAATGCGCGCTATACATTCCAAAAAAGCGCTAAATCTAGTTCCCAAAGCGCTAAAATGGCAGTACTGATTTTGCGTATATTATAAATACAATATCACGACATTTCGTTGCAAAATTTTTATTTTTGGTCGGGTTCCGTTGTATGGCTTCGATGGATACAAATTTCTTCAGTAAGTCTCAATACGATTCATCGGCGAAAAATCTCAACATAGCAATTCAGAAAAGTTTGTAATTTGTACAACTCCATCTATTACGTCCTTTGTGTGAGAAAACATCCTTTTTAAATCTCTTTATGTGTTTTAAGTATAAATATATTAATTATTATGGAACGTTTTTTTTACACACAAATCTTTTTATTACTATTTCTGAGATTTTATGGCGCCATTGAACAAATTCGAATATACATTTCAAAATAATAATCATTACTTTCGATAGAATTAACCAATTTTAATAAAACAAAGATTAAATGTAACTCGAAGATACGCTTTATGATTTTCTTACCGATTTCTTTGAAAATAAAAGATGTTTACTTTAGACGTGATACGTTCATATAATAACAGACAAATAGACATACAGACAATTCTAAAAATTATAAAATGTTCTTATTTAATTATTTTCAGTTCCCCATAATGATTTTAGCCACCAAAATATATATACAATGTACAGAAAGAGACACAACATGTTATCATCATTTTTATTATATGTATATATTTAAAGAGAGATGGCGCTGCTAACATCAATTCTAAAAATAAAAGAGATTAATTGACGCGATTGGTACATTATATAAGACGCAAGAGAACTTATAAATCAGTGCCTGCACAGTAAGCAAAAAATAAAGTTTCACTCTCGCCAAAACCAACGCAATTGTTAATAGCTCTTTTAAAATTTGATTTACCACATAGAGTACTCGGCGGTAAAGAATAAATTGAGTTTGTCAACACGCAGTAGGGCAGCGAGTAATATAATAAAGATTAGCAGTAAATATGAAAACTCATCTACAGGAAAAAACCACATTACATTTTCACAACACCACCATCTATCGAAGAAATGGGTTAACTATTGTGCTTCAGATTTAGTTAATAAGGTTAATATATTTTTGTATAATATATTTAATACGTTCTTTAATACTTTTGTTTACTGCGTTTTAGATATACATAATTATATCATTATTTTACATAATTTAACTATGATTTATGATATGATATTAGTTTAAAATACACTTGATGACTCAAACAAAGCCACCGTTGAGCAAATTTGTGCCTATACTTCCCTACCCATACTTCAGAATATTTATCATAACTTTTGATGGAATGAACTGATTTTAATGAAATAAAGACTAAATGTAACCCGAAGATACACTTTATAATTTCCTTAACAATTCTTATGATATAAATTAGTACTTTATACGTGATACGTTAACAAACAAACAGACAGACAGACAGACAGAAAATTCTAAAAATGGTAGAAATGTATTTAATTACTTATTTTTAGTACCCCTCAATCACTATTATTACAAAAATATAAAATGTACAGACATCTGCTATTTACAGTTTTATTATATGTATAGATATATTTAATTTAAAGTAATTATTACAATTAATTCTTATAACTAAGTGAGGTGACTCTAATTCGATGTTTGAATGTAGAATGGATTCACACGGTAAAATATTAGAACCAGGTAATACAAGACAGTAGACACGTTATGCTGACACGGCGCCTCGTGATCGTCGTAAGCCGATGCAACGCAGCAGATTGCCTGGATTAGGGCTGCGTAACAGATATATATTTATTTGTTGTTTATGTATTGTTTACGCCATTTTTGTTGAAAATAATTTTGCCATAATTTTCACGATATATCGAAATTATAATATAAAACGTCATTTTTTCACATTGGACTGTATAAAATATGAGTTTCTGTGTTTTTTTTCATGATTTATGGTGATTATTTACACTTTATATTTCATTTTCAGTTAATTCTGAGGATTTATTTCATACGTGAACGACGGTATTTGAAATGCTAATTTTATAAATTAAATAAAAATTGTTAAAATACGAAATATAAGCAAAACTTTTTAAAAAACAATGTAATTACTTACCCTTTGTATAAAAAAACTCGACAAACTTTTGTATATATGTAAACACTTTCAAATTTTAAAAATAATACAGTAGGGCAACAGTCACGGACACGACACAGGGATATACTGTAGTAAATACGACGCATCATGGCTGAAACTCGTCATTTGAACTAAATACTCTTATTTTATAGAAGCGTAATTTAGTAACGAGACTAGTTATAATATTTTTTTTAGAAAATTAGATATATAGTTCTTATAAATAAGATTTAAAAAACAATTGTTTTGAGAGATCTACAAAATGACATTTTGAGAATCCAAATGAATTCGCCGAGCTTTGAAAGGTTAAATTTCCAGAAAGTTCGACGATATGACGCGCTGTGATTGGTCGATTTTTTCTTAAACGATTAAAGTTGTTTATATTAACTATTATTTAAACGACATTCTATACAAATATATTAAGAGTTGTAAACACACTGTAAAACTATATTAACAAACTATTTACTCGATTTCGTTGGTAATTTCACTTTTTATACAAAACAATATTCTTTCATCACTTTGTTTCTTAAAGTCGTTGGGCCGTCCCGAACAATTTCGGTGGAATTTTTTATCTTTTTAAAGATTGTTGACTTGAATGCTTGTCTTTTAAGTCATAGTTTCATTTACTTATTTTCAAGATTTTTGGCTTGGATGCTTGTTTTTAAGCCATGTTTTCATTTATCGCAACTTGAGCCAGCAGATAGTTGGCAATACTATTATTAGGGATCGAATGTGGACTGTATGAAATTTACTTGTTAATGGACTGTATTAATTGACTACGCTAGGGAACTGCTTAAAGAAAATTTTCTTGTATTACGCAAATATCTAGTTTCCTTCAGTTTTCCGCCTCATGTTGTAATTTTTTTTTTTGCGCCCGAAGCAATTGGAAAAGGGCTACCCTTTATGTAGGGAGGCGGAAAATGCATTACGCATAGCACGACAGCCGGTCTATCGTGGTTATGAGGGACTCACTGCCTACCGGGGGAACCTAAGTGATACCCTCTAAAAACCGCCTTTGGGAACTGGCTACCAGCTGTTTAAAACTTCTTATGTCGTATCGGAAGCGACCCTCTTTTGTTAAAAGAGGGCGCAGGCGGCTATTAGCCGCTGAGGGAGTGCCTACGAAGGCAAATTAATTATGAATAACTTAATTAGAGTTGGCCTGAGCCGCCAGGAGGCAGTTCAGGTCGTTTGAAAGTTTATTAGGCGGGTCCGAGAGGGAGTTCCTCGGCCTGCAGACGCTATAGCGGGAGGGGAGTGGGGCTGAATAATTAGCTGCCTCACGAATAAAATGATTGGAATGCGACTCTGAGGCTTTGAAGAAGTTCTCAGAGAGTTTTTTAAGGAATTGTTGGATTGTAGGGAGCTCTAAGTCCCGATGAAGGTCGGCATTACGGACGTACCAAGGTGCGTTCATAGCTCGATGACAAAAGAGGTTTTGAACTACTTGGAGTTCATTATCGACGGCTCCGTGGCACAGTGGCTTAGCAATCAGTTGTTGCGCTGGGGGCCGCGGGTTCGAACCCCGCACGGAACAAGTATTTGTATGGCCTACAAATAATTGTTCCGGGTCTGGATGTTTGTCCTTGTGCAATTTATGTTTGTAAACTGCCTCCACGACACAGGAGAAAATCCTAGTGTGGGGGTAAAGTTTAAAAAAAAAAAGAAATTAATAATTTTAGGGTCAGCGTGGCCAAAAATGGGGCCCGCGTAGGACATGACTGGTCGTATACAGACCTTATAAAGGGTACGCTTGTTTCTGAGGGACATTTTACTGTGTCGGCCCAACATACTGTTGAGCCTACTCAGGTAAAAACGTGCGTGACGGGTTACTCTTTTGACGTGGGGCCTGAAAGTGAGCCTCGTGTCAAGGGTAACGCCTAAATATTTGGCAGTCGTATGCCAGGGGACAGGGGTGGAGTGTATTTGAGTCGGCGTCGTTTATAATCGAAGTGAACGGCGGAGCTCTTCTCCGGGTTCACATCGATGCGCCATTTTTTGAACCAAGCTCCTAGGTCATCAACTGACTTTTGGATTTTGTTCCGCATGAAAGGTAGCGAGATAACTTTACAGTATAGGGCAGTGTCATCTGCGAAGAGGGAGAGCTGAACACCTTTCGACGGGATGGGAATGTCGTTGGTGAACAAAATGTACAGGAGAGGAGCAAGTCCTGAGCCCTGAGGGACACCAGCTTTGATGGTGCGCTGAGAAGATAGCGTGCCTTCGTGTCTAAAACGAAAGGTACGATGCTTTAGATAAGAGGCCACGAGACGTACTAGACGATCGGGGAGACCTATTTTGTATAATTTGTAGATAAGACTTTCATGCCAGACTCTATCAAAGGCTTTAGCTATGTCGAAAAAGACCGCGATGGTCTTATGACGACGAGGATAAAAACCGCTGAGGATATATTCCACAATACGGTGAACTTGTTGAGGACAAGAGTGTTTCGCTCGGAAACCGAATTGATGGGGGATGACAAGAGGGTCACCGTCTGTGGGAAACAGATGGCGCCTCATGCGAGTTTGGATGACTCTTTCGAAGAGCTTGCCCATGGCCTTAAGGAGGCTAATGGGGCGATGACTGGAGGGGAGGTTGAGAGGCTTGCCTGGCTTGGGAATACCAATCACAGTTGCCTCTTTCCACGTAGTGGGAAAGTAACTAAGGTTGAAGCAGGCGTTGAAGATAATAGATAAAAGGGTAAACACCTGCTCAGGAAAGTGTTTTAGGGCTTGGTTGGAGATGCCATCCGCGCCCGGAGCCATTTTAGGCTTAAGTTCTTTGATGAGGGATGAAATCTCATCATTGGACACAGAAATAGGTTCGGAGGCTGTAGGGGGTGAGTTCCGGCGGCGGACCTCATCCTCCACTGCCTGGAAGTGTGAGGGGTCGACGGGTTGAGAGCTAGGAGAGCATTGAGCGGCAATGCTGTCTGCAAAGCACTCAGCCTTTTTCTCGTCCTCGAAGGCTACCGTACCGTCGGGACGGGAGAGAGTGGGAGTATGGGTGATAGCGTCTATGCGGAGGGCTCTTGCCATCTGATAGTACGATGTATGAGAGGGAGAGATATTCTCCATGAGCTTACTCTTTTCGAGGTCTCGAAATTCAGAGAGGCGGAAACGGAGTTCTCGTTGAAGACGATTGGCCGTGCGCCTATATTCGGGCGTGGGATATTTTGCTGCTCTCCGGAAAGCAGCTTTTTTGGCTTTTAATAGGTTGCTAATGTGCAGGGGAAGCCCATTATTATTAGCAACCGGGACGACCCTTTCATTCTCCTTAAGGGAGGTTTTAATAAGGGTGGAGAGTGAATCGACCGCGTTGTCGATTTTTTCGGGACTGTCGAAGTCCGACGATAGTGAGATGGGGGAGTCCTGTGAGTCTAGAGCTTTCGCTAGGGACTCCTTGAAGCCCTTCCAATTTGTGAAGGTTTTAGTAGAGGGTGTTGAGGGGGGTGGCTGATGGCCAAGAATGAGGGAGACCGGTCTGTGGTCGGATCCTAGATCGTCTAGTGTCTCGATTGCCCTGAGGTTGAGGGAAACACTTTTGAATAGTGCAAAATCCAGCACGTCGGGAGCGTAAGCGGTGATATCGGGATAGTGAGTAGCACCGAGGGGACTGTGGACGGTAAGGTCAAGAGACTGCGTGATATCGAGCAGTATCCTGCCACTACGTGAAATAGTACGGCATGTCCATTCAGTATGCTTGGAGTTAAAATCTCCAAACATAATGACTGAATTGCCTAGAGATAAAATAGCCTCAAAATCTTTTTTGAGGGGAAGGGTTCTAACAGGAGGCTATGAAGATGGACTGGTGTCCAGTCATAGCTAGCCTGCATACCGTGGCTTCCATGTTGGAAAGTTGCGGAGTAGAAATGGGAGAGCAGTGAAGTGTCTTCTTGTAATAAATGGCCGTACCGCCGCCTCGGTGGTCGGGTCTGTCATTACGAAGAAGAGAGAAGTTTTTCATGGAAAGGCCTTTAGTGTCCTTAGTATTGAGATTAGTTTCCTGTTCAGAGCTTAAGCTCTGGGAGGTTATTTCGCAAACCGCGAATATTAAAGGTTACAAGCGATAAACCCTTAGGTTTGATACGACCGTGAGACTTTGGTGAAGTTAAGTTATTTAAGTTAACTTACAACGAACACAAAAGATTATGATGCTCTGCAAGAGCGAGGAGACGGTCCTGACGGGACCTCGCAGCGCGCAATTTGCGTGCTAACACAGCGATTTCCCCAACGTTGATGTTCCTAATAGCGGAATACACCGTTTTTAGGTCATCAGCCATTGAGGGCTGTGATTGTTGTGGGGCGGAGGATGTCCGCGGTGGTACTGCCTTTTTGGGGCCCCAGGGAAAGACTGGAGGCTGCATAGGCTGAGAGAAGCCCAGAGGGGGCCGAATAATGCCCTGAGGGGGCCTAGGGGGACCCTGAGAGGGCCGAGAGAATCCCTGGATGGGTTGAGAAAGGCCCTGACGGGGCATCCGTTGGTAAAGAGCCGGGAATGAGCGGTCATTAACCGGCGGTGGAGCTTGTCTACTGGGGCGAGGATGAGGTGCGCAAGGGCAGCCTCTGTAGTTTGCCGGGTGGCCTGTTTGTTTACACAGGACACACGCGGGTGGGGATTCGGCGTCTTTGGGCCGAGGACACTCTTTAGTGTTGTGGGGTTCAAGGCACTTAACGCATCTGGGTGGGACGGAGCAGTTGGCCGCCGCATGACCATATAGCTTGCAGCGGTGGCACTGCGCCGGGAACCCGCGCCTATGTGGAGGCTCAACCCTCACTCTCGATGGGCCATACACTGTGCGTACCTGCCGGAAGATGGCTTTCGCCTCCGGCACGTTGGAAAGGATGACGAGGGCAAGCGAGAACCTCTGGCTCGTTCTGCTTTGCATTTTGTGCACGGCTTCTACGGGGAATCCTTGGGACTTAAGGTCCTCAAGGATTTCCTCGTTAGAGAATTCGAAAGGGACGCCGCGGATGACGGCCCTGACTTTGCGCTATTCCGGAAGAGCGTACGTATGGTAAGAAACTCGTTCGGCTGTGAATAGCCTGGTGAGACGCCGGAAGTCGTCGATTGATTGGGGGATGATCTTAATAGCCTCCCCGAGGTTGATGGCGTGGTCGTATTTTATGCCTGCGTTGTAGCAGGTTTTGGAGAGTTCTGTGAATTTAGCCTTGTCTCTTAGGAAGACAGGGGGCGGGACTTGCTTCTTGGCAAGGACTGGAGCACAGCGAGAGGCTAGCTTGGTCGGAGCGGGGATGTCTAGTGACATAAGTGGGGCCGAGGCAGCGGCGGGGCTGCGGGGGCAGAGGCGGCAGCGGGAGCTGCGGAGGTTGAAGGAGCGGCAGGGGCCGCTGAGACAGGGAGGGTGCGGTTTTTCGCGGTGCGTTTACCGCTGCGTTTGGAGTTCACCGTGTAGTGTATGTGCCTCAACCCTACTAGTAGTGTAAGTAATACATGTTCTCTTAAGTTTATTAATCAGTATAATTAAAGAATTAGTCTCAGCAACACGTCTTCTCTTTCATTAACAC